TACGGTTACCGGAATCGAGTTCATTATCAAAAGTCTCGAAGATGGAAAGTAGAGAAGATATCGCGGCAACGAGTCGGGTATTTATACAAAACAAATATTATTATTTTTATGTTATTTTTTAAAAAATAATCTGTTGTTGGGTAGCCGACGGGAGAGACTGCTTCTTCATGCGTTGATGGTTGATCCATGCATGGTAGGCTTGAGCAGGTTACGTGCTTTTCGCCTCGTGAGGCCCGATCCAATTTCGAAATTAGTCCCGATATCTTTGATATTTTGAATCAGCCCCCCACTTTGTCAGTTTTAATTAATAAGTTCCCTAAATCACTTAAATGGCTTGAAACTGTTTCTCCAAAATCTTTCAAGCTGGTGCTAACTAGAGGGGTGAGTTTCGAGATACTCATGAGATTTAGAGGACTAGTATCAGAATATGAAAGATTTTAGGGACTAATATCGAATTAAACTCAAATTTGAATCATCTAAATTGCTCGAACAATATATTTAGTACCCTTTACAATAAAGTTTTGAAACTATGTGCAACAAATTAAAGGAGGGTATTAATTATGTAGTAAACATGAGACATGGGGTGGTTGACAATTACTTATTCAAGAAGGGTGTCACTTGTAAAAAAAAGTGGTTTTAGACCCACGAGACCTTCCTTTCTCGGGTGGTGCTTGGCGAGAAAGTCAAAACTAGCAATTGGCTTTAACCTATTCTTTCTTCTTCAATTGCGTTCCAACTTCAAGCCCGCCAAACTTTCATCATCTAATTTTTAAATCATTTTTTTTTCTTTTCCATATGGCAAACTTTGAAGGGGTGGACATTTGACATGGTCAACCAACTCATTCTCTATCATTGAGGATTAATGAACATGTGAATGCTCCAAATATTATTTAACCATATTAATTATTTAGTTGGACATATTTAAGGATGCTAGTTAATTATGCTTGAGGTGTTAATGACACTGTTAACTTTATAATTGATCAGTTTTGAAGTTCTCTGCGCTTGCACTTGAGTAGACATAGGCCTGTCCATCCGGGCCGGGCAAAACCGGAGCCCGGACCTGGACCCGGGTACCCCGGGCCGGGTCCGGGCCCAACCGGGTCGGCCCGGATTTTTTCAATTTTTTTCTTTTCTTTTTTTTTTGATAAAAAATGCTAAAATTTAGTTTAAATTTATTATATTTTATATAATTATGTATTAGTATATACTTATAAATTATTATGTAAGTATATATTATATATACATATATTATATATATTATATATACATATATTATATGTAAATATATTATATATATTTATAATCTATAACTTGAGAGAGAGAAAATCGCATAAGTAGCCATTGCCCGTTGGGCCAATGGGGAAGAAGTAGCCGTTGTAATATACTATACTTATATACTAAGAGAGAGAGTATACACACACATATTATACATATATAAGAGAGAGTATACTTATATAAGAGGGAGTATATATATATAAGAGAGAGTATACTTATATATACATATATACTAAGAGAGAGAGTATACACACACATATTATACATATATAAGAGAGAGTATACTTATATATACATATATACTAAGAGAGAGAGTATATATATATACACACATATATTATACATATATAAGAGAGTGTATACTTATATATACTTATATAAGAGAGACTATACATATATAAGAGAGAGTATACTTATATATACATATATACTAAAAGAGAGAGTATATTAGTATATATATATACACACATATATTATACATATATAAGAGAGTGTATACTTATATATACTTATATAAGAGAGACTATACATATATAAGAGAGAGTATACTTATATATACATATATACTAAGAGAGAGAGTATACACACACACACACATATTATACATATATAAGAGAGAGTATACTTATATATACATATATACTAAGAGAGAGAGAGAGTATATTAGTATATATATATGTATATACACATATATTATACATATATAAGAGAGTGTATACCTATATATACTTATATAAGAGAGAGTAAACATATATAAGAGAGAGTATACTTATATATACATGTATAGTATAAGAAAGACTCTTCTCTAAAGAAATGATGAGTCTGAGATACTTTGGAGGGGGTATCTGTAGGCATCAAAAAATACTTACAGACATCCAAATACCACTCAAGGCAAAGAGAAGACGATAAACGCCATTCTCTTAATCAGATGAGATCATTCAAAGGAAGCGAGACAACATGGAAGAACAATGTACACACCAACAGGCAGTACATGGCGGCACGGCTGAGGCGCGGTAGTACATGGTGCCGCGACTAAGGTGCGGCAGCCCATGGTGCCGCGGCTAAGGCGCGGCAGCCTATGGTACCGCGGCTATAGCGCGGCAACCTATGGTGCCGCGGCTATTATAGGGGAGTGCTGCGGCGGTTACAAGACAGTTGTACGATGATTATTTAAAGCCCACGTGGCAGCATACTAGAGATAGAACGTGTGCTGACGTGGACAAGCAGTTGAACCACGAAAAAGGTGGTTAAAAGTCGTGGGAGAACGGTTTCAAGCACGATGGAACGTGCTGGTAACCACCCCTTTGGCCGCGGCAGTCCACACTGCCGCGCCAATAGCCGCGGCAGTCTAGACTGCAGCGGCCAAAGATGGTTAGTCTNACACTACCGCGCCAATAGCCGCGGCAGTGTTGGCTGCCGCGGCCAAAGAAGGTTCATCTGGTTGGTTGTTTCGCCCCCATTTCAACTGTGGTGCACTCCTACCCCTATAAATACCTCCCTAGGCACGAAATAAAGGAGGGAGGGCAGATTAGAGCAGAGGGCCTTGAGTTTTTGGTGAATTAGAGCAAGAGAGAGTCTTCCTTCTTCACAAACATCCTCAAGAAGCTTCTGGCGATTCCTAGAGATCTAAGCTCTGACTTGATCTTTAGAAGAGTGAACATCTTACATCGATAAGATATTCGCTTCAAATTCTTACTTCGATAAACGAAGGAAGAATCATTAAACCCCTCACGGTTCAATCAGAATCTGTGATTTGGTGGTCCACGAGTCAAAGCGCCCCCGGCACAGGCAAAGATTCCACGCAAGTGTAATTTTCCTTTTGTTGTGTAAGAGAAGTCTTATAAAAAGACTATTTCTTTTGAATTTGTTGTAATCGACCGAAGATATAATGAATTCCAAAATGAAACCAACTTTTGTTTTCGTCAAAAGTTGGTTTCATTGTGGAATTCATTATATCTTCGGTCGATTACAACAAATTCAAAAGAAATAGTCTTTTTATAAGACTTCTCTTACACAACAAAAGGAAAATTACAACTTTTTAGAAACAAATGCAGGATCGTTTTATCGATTTCTGCTTTGTGGGACTTTACCTGTGCCGGGAGTGCTTTGGCTCGTGGACCACCGATTCACAGATCTATTGCAATCGTGAAGTTTTTGGAATTCTTCCTTCGTTTATCGAAGTAAGAATTTAAAGAGAATATCTTATTCTACTGTTAAGATGTTCACCTCTTCAAAGAATCAAGTATCAGAGCTTAGATCTCTAATGGAATCTGCCAGAAGCTTTCTGAGGAGATTTGTGAGAAGGCAAGACTCTCTTCTTTGTTAATTCACCAAAACTTCAAGCCCATCTGCTCTTAATCTGCCCTTTTCTTTATCAATGCCTAGGAGGTTATTATAGGGAGGATGCATCCCAGTTGAAAGTGGGGCGAAACCAACCAACCAGATAACCATCACTTTGCCGCGGTAGCCAACACTGGGCGTGGCTATTTGGCGCGGCAGTGTGGGCTGTGCCGCGAGCTATATGACGCGACAGAGGGCTGCCGCGCCAAAGACATCGTTACCAGCACTTCATCGTGCTTAAAACCGTTCTCTCCGCTTTGAACCACCTTTTCATGGTTCAACTCTTCCACGTCACCACTTCTATCTCTATAGCTTGGCAGGGGCTTTAAATAATCATCGTAGCAACTGCTGTAAGCCGCCGCAGCAACTCCCTATAATGCCGAGCACCATAGGTTTCGCGCTATAGCCGCGGCACCATAGGCTGCCGCGCCTTAGCCGCGGCACCATGGGCTACCGCGCTTTAGCCGCGGCACCATATCCTGCCGCGCCACAGTGTGTTGCCTGATGATATGTATATTGTTCTTCTGTGTTGTCTCGCTTCCTTTGAATGATCCCATTTGATTAAGAGAATGACGTTTATCGCCTCTTCTTTATCTTGAGTAGTATTTGGATGTCTGTAAGCATTTTTGACGCCTACAGATACCCCCTCCAAAGTATCTCAGACTCATCATTTCTTTAGAGAAGAGTCTGGGACACTTTGGATATGATAAGCTTTCCTTGCAATTTCTCCAGTGCTTTGTTGAGGAAATTGCGTAGCATGGTCTATGAATGGCTTCAATCTTTGACTTCTTCATCTTTTAGCATATTCAGTGCTTTGTAGAATAGCTAAGATTCCTCCGGTGTTGCGTTTATCGCGTGGCCGTTGTCGAAGTCTTGAATTAGAACTGCCGTCGAAGAATGGAGAAATAGTTTATACTCGTATACTATATTGGAGTGTTCGGGAAATAGTTTAACCTCATATACCCATTGGGAGGTTCAAGGAGATGCAGTTTATACTCATATACTCATCGGAGTGTTCGGGAAATAGTTTAACCTTATATACCCGTTGAGAGTTAATCAGGTTATTCTTAAGAATATTTTGAGTAATATTCTCCAGAAACTTCCTGTTGAGGCTAGGGAAACAGTTTAGACTCGTGCACCCATTGGAGTAATATGGTCTCTTTTTTGTTGGTAGAGATAAACCTGAAATCGGAGAGGAAGAATTTTATATTCTATCTTCTGGTCTCTTGTTTGTTGGTAGAGATGAACCCGAAATTGGAGAGGAAGAATTTTATATTCTATCTCCTGGTCTCTTGTTTGTTGGTAGAGATAAACCCGAAATCGGAGAGGAAGAATTTTATATTCTATCTCCTGGTCTCTTGTTTGTTGGTAGAGATGAACCCGAAATTGGAGAGGAAGAATTTTATATTCTATCTCCTGGTCTCTTGTTTGTTGGTAGAGATGAACCCGAAATTGGAGAGGAAAAATTTTATATTCTATCTCCTGGTCTCTTGTTTGTTGGTAGAGATGAACCCGAAATTAGAGAGAAAGAATTTTATATTCTATCTCCTGGTGCAAAGAAAACTCAAAGTGGGATCTCCACTTAGAGAATCTGGACTGGTTTGAATAATCCTAATTGTCATAAGGTTTGATTATTCAACTAAAAGTGGATCTCTCGTTCATGGAATGAATCGAGAAGAGATTTTGGTTGTGGTCCTAACTGTAGTAAGGTTTGACCAAGTGGGAGTTTTGAGACGATCCTAACTATTTAAAGGTTTGATCGTTCAATTTGAGTGGACCTCTCGTTCATGAAAGGAATCGAGAGGGGATTTTGGCTTTGGTCCTAACTGTTTAAAGGTTTGACCAAATGAGTTTTGTGAGGGAAGATTGATCTAAAGAAGTGATCGAATCTCATCTCAGCAAAAGAGTATTCGGAAATCACCGTGGGGATGTGGTGTTTATCACTTTGTTTGTAATAATCGGGTTATCCCTGAGAAAATTATATATAACATTCTTTTGGGAACTTCCGTTACACGAACCACCCACCCCTAGCTTTCTTCGCAAAACTGGGTCTAACATCATACTGAGTTACATGACCGGGTTATCCTTAAGAATATTACATGTAAAATAATTCTCTAGGAACTTCCCGTCAAGAGTGGGAAACAGTTTAGACTCATATACCTATTGGAGTATCAGGGGACAGTTTAACCTCGTATACCGGTTGGAGGAATGAGAAGCAGTTTATACTTGTATACTCTTTGGAGTGACATGAAGAAGCGGTTTATACTCGTATACTCTTCGGAGTTATGGGAAAACAGTTTATACTCGTGTATCCCATGGAGTTTGGCGTCATTTTTATTTGGCTTGTTTTGCCATTATGACACCGGAGTCAATTAAGGCTTGGATTTTATTTTTAAGTCCGAAGCAAATCTCGGTGGGATGAAGAACCCTTCCGGAGTCAATTAAGGCTTGGATTTTATTTTTAAGTCCGAAGCAAATCTCGGTGGGATGAAGAACCCTTCTGTGGTACGCACAGTAGTTTGGATCCGTAACTCTCTTAGCTCCCTCTTGATCTTTAATAAGTGGTAGCTCGATCTTGTCGTTGGCGAGGAGGTATTTTAAGATGGCTGGAGCTTCATCATCTTCGAAAGAATACTCCTTTTGAAACCTCGGATCGGGAGTCGCGTTCCCAGTGATTGCAGACGTCGTCGGTCGGCTTCTCTCAGCTTTCTTTCTTTTAAGAAAATGTTCAGCTTGTTCACCGCGCATTTTCAAATCTTTCCAAGTTTTGGATGGTACGACCCCCAGGGCTTCCAGGACCTCGATAGAGAGATTATTATGGCATGTTTGCAGGATGAACTCCTCTGTAACCGGATCTCTGCAATTCAATGCCTTATTACGGAAGCGCTTGACAAAATTGTCGACTGACTCTCCGTCTTTTTGCTTCTCATCTAAAAGGTATCCGATTGACACTTCGGTGTCATCATCGAAGAAATTGCTGAGGAATAAACTTTCTATGTCATCCCAGCAATTGATGCTCCCTGGCTTAAGACGTTGGTACCAATCGAAGGCGGGCCCACGAAGGGTGCCAACGAATGACCGGACCATTAAAGCCTCATTTCTAGAGATCATGCCCAAATGAGACTTGAAATAAATCAAGTGCTGAGTAGGCGAGCTTTTCCCGTCAAACAGTGTGAAGTTAATCAAATTGAATTTTGCCAGGTACGGTATTGAATTCCATTCTCTTGGATAGGGATATGGAATACCCGTCTTTTTCACTTCTTAAATCGTCATCAAAGCATTGACTTTGTTTTCAAGCTCTTTCATTTTCTCGTCATCGTCTATGTCTTCATTCGAAGGACGTTGAGGAGAATGAATTAGGCCACCCCCTGTAAGAGGTGCCATTGAACCACCCCCAATATCGTTATTGGGAGGGTGTGTTAAACCACCCCCAGCGTTATTGCTATTGGGAGGTGTATCAGCCATAATGACTTCATCCACTTCTGGATCACTATCATCTGTCACATTCTGAGTGTGGTGGCTGGATTCAGCTCGCTGACTGGACTCAGGAGATTGAGGCCGTTGAGTTAGCAATTCTCTCATTTGTTGGATAGCTAACTCCATCTCTGTCTTCATCTCAGCTCTAATTTCTTCACGTTGCTTCGTTAGAGCTTTTTGAAGCATTTGAGCAAATTGATCAGAGGTGATCGTGTGGACTTCTCTGGTTTGTCCTGTGCTAGATACCGTATCATCCGAAGCGATCGCATAACAAGTATCCGAAAGCTCACCTTCTGATGACGTTCCTTCATGCATTCTCTTGTAGTCCCTATGTCTGATGGCTCCTAACTGGAGTCGGGACATCCGTTTGGCAATTCTTGAATTGACTTTTCCTCTCGGTGAAAAGTCGGGATTTGATTCACTTGAATGCCATTTAGATTTTCCTTTATTAGCCATGTTGATGGTGACTTCAGGGAATTCGTCATCTTGGACAGCTGATCTTCTCTTGTAAAAATGTCTCGGCTTAGGCTTCGACATTTTGGTGAAAAGACTGTGGAATACCGAGGCTCTTTGTGGGATGGCTTCTTGTTTTTCGTAATTATATTCAGACAATACTGCTCTAATGAGTCGTGCACAGGAACAGCGAGAGCGAATAATTTTCTTTCGAAATTTATTCACACCCCCAACTTGATAATACGATTCATCGGTATGATTGCCAAAAAATCGTATCGTCTGTTGGTATGACCTCCCAGGTATGACGATGTCTTTTGGTGAATGCGTCTTCTTCTGGGGGTGTAAAACCTTGTTGGCATTCTCAGAACAATTTATTACTGTCTTTGAGCGATCCAAGGTTATGTCTGGAGTCACACGTTTAGAACCACCCCCTTGCGGGTATGGAGTCTTAACGGGCTCCGAATGCTGATCTTGCTTAAGTCCAGACTTCGGGATCCAAATTTTGTAAAATTTTGGTGGTTCTTTGGCCACCGTTTTCTTGTTTCTCTCTCGTCTTTGTTGTAAGAGAGCACGGGCATGAGCAGCTTTTGTACGACGCTTTTGTATGCGTTCATTGAGGGTCGATCGAGCCCTCTTAACAAAAGTCCATTCCTCTGTTGTGAGTTGTGTAGAGATATGAGTGGTTGGTTGTTGAGACAACTGAACCACTCGATGCCTCCTCGACTTTAGGTCCACGTGATAACGAACCCCGTCGGTTTGTTCCAAGGCCTTAGCTATTTGACGAGCGCGGCGCTGACGTTGTCTCTGACGAGCCCTCTTTATCAGTACCGGTGGGCTTTGATTCGATGACTCTTTAACTAGATAAGAGTCATTGTGAGCAGAGGTGTTGCGAGTAAAATCCTTAGCAACAATCAGGCGAGAGTCTTCATTTTGTGCCTTCTTTGGCATGTAGGTCTTCCTCAATTGTGGGATCCTCTTGTACTTACGAGACAATGAAGATCTTGAAGAGGATGATGAGAGATATTCCTCAAATTTGGTTTGGTCGAATTCGTATTCGACCATGGATTCAACTGGAATCTTGATCGGCTGCGACACGACCGTCTCGGCAGCGAGACCCTTGGCTCCCACTGTGGTCGCCAGTTTGTTTTCGTCAAAAGTTGGTTTCATTGTGGAATTCATTATATCTTCGGTCGATTACAACAAATTCAAAAGAAATAGTCTTTTTATAAGACTTCTCTTACACAACAAAAGGAAAATTACAACTTTTTAGAAACAAACGCAGGATCGTTGTTTGGATCGCTGCTTGCGTGGGATCTTTGCCTGTGCCGGGGGTGCGTTAACCCGTGGACCACCGATTCACAGATTCTGATTGAATCGTGAAGGTTTTGGGAATTCTTCCTTCGTTTATCGAAGTAAGAATTTAAAGAGAATATCTTATCGATGTAAGATATTCACTCTTCTAAAGATCAATTCAGAGCTTAGATCTCTAGGAATCGCCAGAAGCTTCTTGAGGATGTTTGTGAAGAACAAAGACTCTCTCTCTTGCTCTAATTCACCAAAAACTCAAGGCCCTCTGCTCTAATCTGCCCTCTGTCTTTATTTCGTGTCTAAGAAGGTATTTATAGGGGTAGGAGTGCACAGCAATGGAAACAAGAATAAAATAACTGACCACATGACATCCCTTTGGCCGCACTAGTCAACACTGCCGCGGCTATTGGCGTGGCAGTGTGGACTGCCGCGGCCAAAGGAGCAGTTATCACCACGTTCTATCGTGCTTGAAACTGTTCTCCCACGACCTTTAACCACCTTTTTCGTGATTTAACTGCTTGTCTACGTCAGCACACGTTCCATTTATGATATGCTGCCACTTGGACTTCAAAAAATCATCGCATAACTGCTTTGTAACCGTCGCAACACCCCTGTAATTCGCGCGTCACCACATACTGTCGTGCCTAAGGCGCGCCACCATGAACTACCGTGCCTAAGGTGCGTCACCACGAGCTGCCGCGCCTAAGGCGCGTCACCCTAAGCTGTCGCGCCTAAGGCGCGTCACCCTGAGTTGCCTGTTGATGTGTATATTATTCTTCCATGTTATTTTGCTTCCTTTGAATGATCCTCTCTGACTAAGAAAATGGCGTTTATCGTCTTCTCTTTGCCTTGAGCAGTATTTGGATGTCTGTAAGCATTTTTTAACGCCTACAGACACCCCTAAGTAGACACCTAGAAAGACATCTATACACTTCAAATTTCACGGAGTTTAGTAATTGAAAGGAAGGTGATATCGAAAAAGTAACTAGTGTTGGATTTAATCTAATAAATCTATTTGTGGGCACATATGATTAATCAATGTGTATTGCTATCTTTCAGGATAACCCACTAAAGTGATCAATTAATTTGGGTTAATTGGGTATTTAAATAAGTCATGGGGTTATATGTGCAAATACCAGGTTGTAATTGTGATTTGTTGAGGGACCAAATTGTAAATGTATAACATCTATAAATAAGGGGTTATGATCCCTAATCTAGGGTTACATTCTCTAATTCTCTTTACCCCCATCTAAAGGAGAAATTCGGCTATAGAGAAACCCTAAGGTTAGAAGATCCAAAACTCATCTCAGGTTCATCTATGGATTCAGGTATAAGCTTCCGCTCTTTATGATTATTATTAATCTCTTCGAATTAATCATGGATTTATGGTTTTAGATCTCAAGTTCTTCATTAGATCTAACAAGTGGTATCAGAACCACCTTTGAATAATTCTTAGGGATTTAAGTTTTAAAATTAGGTTTTTTGATCTTAAATCTCTGATTTTTGGATTAAGATCTGTTCTCGGATGAACAGTAAAGTTTTTTCGGATGAACAGTAACTAATTCATTAGATCTAACAAGTAAAGTTTTTTCGGATGAACAGTAAAGTTTTTTCGGATGGAACAGTAAAGTTTTTTCGAATAATTCATTAGATCTAACAAGTGGTATCAGAACCACATATGATTTTTTTTTGTATTTTTCTTCAATTTTTTCTTGGTCTGGATCACGAAAATTTTTCCGATTCTGGATCTAGATTTGAAAATAAAATCGATGAATCTTTGGATTTTTTGGGTTTAATCTTCGGTCCCATGCTCCTCGCCGGCGAAGTTTCGCATCTTTGGATTTTTTGGGTTTAATCTTCGGTCCCATGCTCCTCGCCGGCGAAGTTTCGCTGGCGGCCTCACCCTCGACGGCGGTGGCGGCGTCAGGAAACCCTAGAGTTTCGACCTCTTAGGTGCTGTTTGTGGAAAATTTTGCAGTAAAAAGGCAGTGAAAGAAAAATTGATTTGTATTCTCTCAAAATCGATTACAATTTGGATTCCGATTACAAAAGAGAAGAGAATGATCTGGATTCTCCCCTTTGTTTAATTCTGGGTTCTTCACGGTGGCGATGGAGTGCTTCCTTCGAATGCTTGCGTCGAACTTGGATGTCTTGTTTCACTGGAACGTGGTCTTCTCCTCACGATTTGACGTTGTGGAGAACTTTGAACGAGTTTAAAACTCTATGAAAGAGTTGATTTAACCGAAAGTCGGTTATAAGCCAAGGATGAAGAAGATCTTGTTGCCGATCTCCAAAGCTCCAACCGAAGGATGAAAGATCCTCTTTTCGCTGCCAAGTCCCAGCCGAAGGATCAGAACCGAAACCCCAAAGATTTTGCCACGAGGATCTCTTCTGTTGCTGCCAAGAAGTTCCCACAGACCGAACCCCGAACTAAATTGATTTTTAGTTATTTATAGGGGATTAAGGGGTGTAACCACCTCCTTAATTCGCTCCTAAGTGGGGCTAATGGGATGTAACCGCCCCTTAAATCACTCCTGAGTAGAGTTGTGATCCCC